TTTTCTTTTTTTTTTTTTTGTATTAAAAAATTCGTGTATAAGCAAATTGATTTCAAACAAAGAAAAAAAAAATGTTCGTTAAACGGTTGTGAGCATATTTATACAAACATCTTATAATGATATTTGACAGTTGTTTTTTTTTAAATCTTTTAAATAATTGAAAATGACGATGGTGAAAAACGCGTAAAATCCAACATGATTATTTAAAATGCAATTAACGACGAAATAAAAATGCAAGAATTGTAATACATACGCTCTTTTTTTCCCCGCCACACAAACGATGGGTGTACTTTTTGTGGAGTAACCAGGTGTAAAACTATAAAGTAAGCGTACCCGCAAACCGTCCAAAAGAGGAGAGTTAACCAGAGACGAAACCGGTAAGGTAATCCAACGCGCCGGCGTTGCGCGTAAAGAGAAAGACGTATATTATCACGTAGACAAACTTTTTTTTTTTTTTTCTTCTTCTTCTCTCTTCCGTTGCACCGGCTTTTTCCGCCCCATAATCATACCACATGACACCGCCCGACGCAACGGTACATACACTTTTGCGAAAAATATTCAAGCCAAATGTTTTTTTTTTTTTTTTTTTTCGTCCACAGCCGAGGGCGATCGAGGATCTGCGCCGATGGACGTCGGCCGAAGCTCTGGGGGACGTCACCGTAGCCGCGGACTGCGCCTCTCGCATCGTCCCGGCCGAGAGCATCGACGACACTCGGCCCGTCGACCACAAGCTCCCCAGCCCGGAGGAACAGTTGCAGGCGATCGCGCTCAAGTGAGTTTTTTAAAACTATTTATTACCATACGACAAATTTGATCGGTATATAATATTATGTTAGCTTATACAGGTATTGCACTCGGCTTTCGGGGATTTCTCTGTCACCAATATTGTTGCCCGTTTTTTCATTGCTGCACGGATTTTTTTTTTTTTTTTTTTCATAGTATTAGTAGGTTTCCTCAACATACAAAGTATTTTGATTTTCTTGCTATGTATGCTACAAACAACGAAAATGTCGTTGATGCAACTAAAAAGTATTATCTTGCTCGACGAGATTGTTCACTTTGTACTATATTCTAGTGAATTTATTGGTTCTATTTCAGAACCGAGTTTTTATTTTTTTTTCCAACAATGGATATGAAAAAACAATAAAAACATTTTCAGCAGAACCAACAAAGTACTCCTTCATCGGGGGAAAAATTATTTCATTATGAAGCGTTGAAAAACATATGAAAACGTTTCTCGTAATCCAGAAAGCATTTACAACAGTAGTTCCAAACGAATAATCCACCATACTTCCTCACTTTGAAAGAAATAATTATCTTGGCGTGAAAAATACAGTTCTCGCAAATTGTTATCTCTTTGTCACCCTAATTGCATCAAAATCGGTAAAGACATGAAAATACACAAACCCACATCAACTCCCGCAGGTTCCCAGCGGAGGTCGTAGCCGTGGACGTGAGCGGCCGCGGCTTCAAGCGTATGTCGATGCGGCGCAGGTCGATGATGCCCCATCACCACCACCACCACCACCAGCAACAACAACAACAAAACCAACAAGAGTCCCACGAGACGGTCAAGAGAAGGTCGCGGCCGCGTAGGCCAAGGGGCAAGCGGCGAAACACCATAGCCGGCACGGACCAGAAGGAGATCAGGCGAGCAGTCGGCGGGTGAGTTGTCCAACCGAATCACCGATCACATATATACACATCCTACACCGAACTATGGAGTCACTCCCCCCCCCCTTTTTTTTTTTGTTCTTCAACAAACAACAGGGAAACCACAGCCGAGGAGCCGGAAGATGCCCAGCCCAGCACCAGCGGTACGTCCAAGCGAGCCCACCGGTCGGCCAGTACGGACCTTCTCGGCACCGATGGCAAGAAGGACACCTCCCCGGTCGAGAAAAAGTCCTCGCACTTTGACACCCTCAAGGCCTGGGGCAGATCCAGGCTTAAGCTCATCAGTCCCAAGTCGAGTCAGGTATGATCACCCACAACAACCCAATCAACAACCACCACTGATGTCGTTGTACTCGTGTCGTTTCAGCACGTGGATGCGAGCGGCTCGACGGGGTATCTGGCGAGCGGGGAGCAGAGGAGCTCGAGGCACTCGGCAGCGCTGGACGAGGACACCCGGGGCGTGGAAGACGCGGGGGTGAGCAGGCGCGCGAGGCGCGAGGCCGTCAAGTCGAACCACGAGAGGAAGCCCAGCTCGTCGAGCTCGAGTGGCAAGAGCGTCTCGAGTCTCGCGAAGCAGTCGCTGGATAATGACCAGAGGAAGGATCACCCGGAGGGTGGTCAGCAGCAACAGCAGATACCCGCGTCGTCTTTGTCGGTGGGGACGAGGCAGTCGAGTAGCGTCAAACTGAGGGAGAGCGCGGCCGAGAGACGCGAGCGCAGGAAAGGCAGTGGTCGAGCCGACGAGCCTCCGCACTCGAGCTCCGGCAACTGGAGCGCCTCGTCGGAGAGCGGCAGGGCTAGCATCGGCAGCGAAACCACGAGCACTACGCACCCGCCGAGGTTTGCATCGAGAATCTTTTTATTTCTTTTTGGGGAAAAAAGTCGTTTTTGTTTTTGTTTTTGTTTCGTTTTTGTTTTACAAAAGGGGTCCTCGTTGCAGGTCGACCACGACAGCTTCCATAGGTACGTCGTCGACGTCGCTGTCGCACGCGCGGCGGTTCAAGGGCCGCGACAATTCGGCCTCGTCGTCCGTTACCTCGGAGGGCACCCTCACCCCGGACATCATCCAGGACATAAACGCCGTGCCGTTCTCGGACGACGGGGAGACGTCGTCGGTCTACTCGTGCGACACGGAAGGCTACTACACGTCCTTCCACATGGATTCTGGTCTAAAGACGCTGCGGGAGGAGGAGCCGGCGCAGCCTCAGACTCCGATGACCAAGTCGAACGAGGTGCACTCGGATCCCACGTCTCCGGTCGCGGAGAACGAGTACGAGCTGTACGGGAGGGGCTCGACCTCGACGACTACCAGCTCGGCCGGGACGGTGTGCACGACTCTAATGGCCCCGCCACCACCCGAGCGCAAATCAAGCTTGACCGTCGTCGCCATGGTAATGATCTCGTTGTAACCAAAACTAAATGAGCATGTAAAAGTAAAAGTAATTTAAAAAAAAAAATGTTTATATATATATATATATTGATTCAGGTACACGGGCAGAAGCAGAACGGCGGTGAGTCACCGGACAGCGGCCACAACACGTCCTCGTCGCCGGTGGAGTCGGCATCTAGTCCAGCGTGCACGGGTAGGTCGTGCTCCGAGTTTGAGTACTCGGAGTCGAGCGACCTCGAGGGTTGCGAGCGCATCGAGCGAATACGCTCCAAGACGGCCATCAACACGAGCCGCATACCCTCGATGTGCGTGATTACGCCGCCGGGCTCCGATGACGAGAACAAGGATGCCGGAGGGTCGAAGGAACAGAAAAAGGGTAGGGACACGTGCCAGGGGCCGGGGTCCGTGCTCATGTCCGCGACCGTCGGTACCTCCAAAATGGAGGTCATCAACGGCCAGGACAAGAATCTCTACGCTACCGTTCAAACTGTTATGACGTCGAGCGCCAACAGTAGTGAGAAAGGTGTGTATGAGTTTTTTTTTTTTTTTTTTTTTTTTACAAACACATTACGAAAATTTCCATTGTCGTTCTAGCAGCAGCAGCAGCGGGAGTTACGGCAGTCGGTCAAAATGCAAAGATCAGTCCTCTGAGTGGTGTATTGGGCAAGCTTCGGGGTGTTCTGCCAGGCAGAAAGCATCAGCAGAAGCCGAATCAGGAATCTGAGTACAGCATACCACAGCTAGACTCCGGCGACTATGTGACCATAGCCGACGTGAGGAACAACAATGACAAGCGACAGCAGCCAGAGTACGCCGTGACTACGCCAACGACCGTGAGACCGGCCAACGTCACTTACGCCAACGCGGACGTATTTAAAAGGGACGCGGAATACGTGAGCCTCAGCGAGTTGCCGAAAAAGCCCGACTCGTCGCTCGAACGGAGGAGACAGGGGGCCAGAGTGACCCTCGACTCGGAGGGCAAGGTCGTTTACTCCTCGGACAGTCTCAAGAGACGAAAGGGCGCCCACACGACCTTCAATCCCGGTAACCACGGAATTTCACCCAGAAAAATCCCTCGTCTCGCCAAACCCTGCATCACGTAACTTTCTCTCTTCGCTCAACAGGACCCTTTGTGAAGGAGGGACCCTCGTCGCCGGCATCCTCGCCGCTCCTGCACCGCGCTCAGATAACTCCCCGTGTGGTTCAGCGCACCATTCCCGACGCCGTCGACGGCGACGTGAAAAAAAAGCCGAGCCCGGAGCCAACCAGCCAGCCCCAACAGCAGTTGGGCAAAGTCATCATCCGAGCGGCCAAGTCTCCCGACCGATCCGTCAGTCCGGATTACGTGAGGACACCCGCGACGGTGGTCGGTCCCAATCCCACCCCCACACCGAGCGCTACGCAGCAGCAGCGTCAATCGCGCCAGGGCGCGTACGTCAATGTCCAGGGCAGCGACGAAGGTAAGACAGCGACCGGCCTAAGCAACAAGCGCCCGACAACCGCGATCGGCAACGGCACTCGCAAGCCGATCCCGAGCAAAACAAAGGCCAAAGCCAATCACCCGAACGGCGGTTGCAACGGTGGCGTCAACGGCCCGAAACAACCGAGCCGAACGGTAGGAGCGCGCGACGAAGTCAGAGCCTCGGATCCTAACGCGGCGAGGGCGACGCGCTTGCACCCGATGACCCTGCGCTTCAGGCCCCTTAAACCTCGTACGTCGAGATCTGAGCTCCTTCCGCCGAGTCTCAAGCCCAGCGGTTGCACGCCCAAGCTGACGCGACGCTCGGTGTTGCGGCAGATCGAGGCGCCGATCGGCAACGATTGCGACACCCCCAAGGGACACAACGGGACGGGCACGCCGCGGGTCGAGCGCAAACTCAAGCGCAGCGAGAGCTACCGCATGGCCAACAGCCCGATCATGTTCATAAAGAAGCTGTCGGCCAACTCGTCGGAGAAAAAAATCGTGCGCACGGCTTCCGAGGAGCTGAGGGAGGATTTGCTCAAGGAGAGCATCAATTACCCGGAGACGGTGGTCGCCAGTCCGGAGCCCGTGGCTGCTGGCGACGACGCCGAGGTCGGGACGTGCTCCGCCTTTAAAACGACGCCCCAGAGTCCGCGGCCCAGGGCCATGGATCTGGAGCCGGCTCGCGTGCTCAAGTACACGGGCACGAGCACGGAGATCTGGTGAACGCGTCCTATATACTTCTCTTTCAGCGCCACGTTGGGCTTTTTCGTTTGTTGTTTTGCTCGCGGATCTCCGTTGTTCGGCGTCTTTGATACGCTTGTATTTTTTTTTTTTTTTTTTTTTTCTCTTTTTTTGTTTGCTCCACACAAGGACGTCCTTACGTGAGACACGCGTGCTCGCGCGGACTCATTATCGCTTTACGTAATCGCGCGGCACATTAGGAATTTTCCAAGGCTATGTGTCGTCTATTGAAATGCGGGAAAAACAACAGGCAGAGTTTTATTTTACGACAGTACGCGCGCGCTAGTCGATGATTTTTTGGGGAGTTTCATCGCTAATTTAAATTACCGTATCGAGTGTGTGTAATTTATAGTATGTACATGCGAGTGTTACCATGATAATATATCAACGCCCAGGCAGAAGTAATATCAGCTATTCAATTATTTATGAGTGAAGAGGTAACAATTAATAAATTTCAGATTTGAGGCTACGATAATATTTATCATTGATCTATTTCATACACTATGTGCTATTTATTGGTGATTCTTAAAATATGATTTCATTCCGCGCTCGAATAATGACAGTGAGTAATATTTTTATGAACAATTAGTTGTAATTTACGCAAATTATTATCAGTCACTGCGAAATAAAATATTATTTAACAAAAAATAGTAAACATCACAAGCTATAAATTAGTCATACTTGATAACGGTTATTGTCAGTTTTTTTATGTTACTTTCCGAGATGTCATTTAGGATGGAAATAGAAAAAAATAACTGAAAGTAACAGTTATTTTATTAAATCTGGACTTTATTAGTATTTTTATCATCGGTCATTATTAAATGCAATTCATACGAGAAAAACACGACGCTTGGTACGTTTAAGGACGAAATCGTGAACTATAAGAAAAAAAAAAAAAAAAAAAAAACACGTGTGAATCTCGATCGCCCGCAATCCCGATAAAAATTGACCCTCGAATCGACGGATTGATACACGCAACAATAACTCGACTCCCACTACACGTTGTATACCAAAAAAATGCAGATAGCCAGAATCGCGAGATAAATTCTCACGTGTGTATACATCAGTATCGGGTCCATTTATCAATTCCATTTCGAAATCGGCGTCGATTGCGATTTTGTTTTGTTTAAGGCCATCACCCACGCGCAAGCACGCACATATGTACAAAACGATGCACGTTATCTGTCGGCGTTGCACGTGCAGTAGACCACATTTATATATAATAAAAATAATCGTTAGTAAGGTCAATCAATCGATTCCTTGCCGATCGCTGATGGGAAAATGATCAAAGCGCGGGTCCGCGTTTTCCGCGGCGCGAGTTAGGGAGGGGTAGCGGAAAACTCGGGTGCGGCGAGAGGTCGACAACCTCCGTCCCTTGTACACGCCATATATCTTCCGCCTTCCGATTAATTTTTTTCCAAATATCGGAGGAGAGGGGCGCGCGGGTGTGTGTGGATTCACGGGGGAGAGCGGCAGACGAGCGCGTGGAAAAGCCCCGGTGTCTTCCGCAACAACTCATCGTCGCCCATCGCTCAAGAAGTTCGCACTGTTGCATCAGACGATGCATCGTTGTTTATCCCGTTTTCGATTTTATCGGGATTTATGTGTGCGCGCGTCTACTGTTGTTATGATCAATTATAGGGTTGGGTGAAATAGTGCCGGGGCTTCATTTGGGTCTCGGGGTGAGGACACAAGGCTAGAAATCACGTGGTTTTGCGTGACTTTTGGTTTCAGCTGTTGGGGCCATTTCAAGTTGATCCAATCTAATTTTTTTACTTTCGCAACTTTGAAAAAGAGCAAAGGGTTTTTGGTGCGTCCGCGGTAAAGTTCCACGGTCGGTCCAGGGGTTGTTTATTATGTGTCCACTAGGAGGTCTCTGGATTGGCCAAGATTTTTTTTTTGCGTGGAAACTTATTGGGTTTAATAAAGTGGTCTTGGAGTCGTTTATTTATAGCTCAATCGTTTACGCAAATTTTGAATGGTTATATTTTTTTCCCCCAATGATTTGGTCCTATTTTTAAGGGAAATAGTATTTTTTTAAGTGTTTTTGTTAAATGCTCTCAAAAGAAATTTTCAAGGGCATCAAGTTAAGCATTTTATACTAAATGTATATTTTTTTTTTTTTTTAGTGATCTACAATAAAAATTCGTTGAATCATTTAAAGCAATTGTCTCTTAAACAAATTTTCTTCTTCTCAGTTCATTGCAATCAATAATTCTGATTATACGGGAAAAAACACGTTGGTAAAATCTTGCCTTTATTTATGGACTCCTGGTGCATACAGAATTTAAAAAAATATCAATTGTTTTACACACGTACTGGACACTGTAGTGTCTACGTATAAATAGTGTATTTTTCCGTCCAAAAATGATATAATTTGTTAAAAATGTAATTGTTTAAAGCTGTGCATTAATAATAATACAATAATTTTAGTTTTTTCTTGACGATTTCGCCCATTTGAGACAAGAAAAGGTATCTTTTAATTTTTTTTCAAGTACTATCAAATGTGTACGTCATCAAACAATGGTCAACTTCGCAAATTCACAACAAACACATTACAAAATAAATTACAAGGTATTCTTTCTTCATAAACCCGACCAAATTAGTTTGAAAAAAAAAAAAAAAAAAAAACTTCAACCAGACCAATCGGCTTCTACGCAAAAAAAAGGAAAAAAACAATACGTTGGAGAAAAGCCTTGGTTTCCTCCTAGACCTCCCAGTGCACGCTGAATCATAGCCATCACAGCCCCCCCCCCCCCCCCACTAGCTGCAGTTTTATTCCGCGCTTTATCGCCACGACAGCAATCTCGAAATTTTTCTCAAACAAAAACTCCTTGTGTTGCAGTGTATATGTATACACACGTACATCAAATCGGCGCGGGTTACCCAATCGAGACCGGAGGGGGAAAAAAAAAGAAGAAACTTATTCGCAAAAGAGGATTACGCTTTCGAGCCTATGTATATACATTGGGAAAAAAAAAGACTGCTCGAGAGGCGCGAGAAATAGATAAAAAAAAAACGCGCGTGGCGTGTGTCAAGTGTGTCAGGCCGATAAACCGGCATCGCCGCACGGGGGTATCAATAAAAACACACACACGCACACATACTTTGTGCATACAAAAAGAGAGAGAAGGAGGGAGCCGGTGGTGGGATTTTCGTTGCTAGACAGGCGGTCGCCGCCAAGTGTGTGGACAGTACGGTGCCGCGAATCGGCGACCGCCGATCGACAGCTCCTTGAACCTCCGCGATTGTGCTCGAATCGTTGTGTCCCTTTGTAGATTTTTGTGCACCCGATATTCGTCATGCTGGCTAGGCATTTGTTGTTTTTGGCGACGCGGCGACCCAGTGAGTAAAAAAATTTTCTTTTTTTTTTTTTTTTTTTTGCTTGAGAAAAATCTTTACCGATCAGGTGTAAGTGCTAATTTGTCAAATGATCCGTGATGAACGAAAACAAAAAAAAAACACTACTCAGTGAGTTATCGATGACGTTCGTTGTAAAAAAACATCAAATGTAAATAAGTAAATAGTCCAAAGTATTGAGAAAAAAAAAAAAAAATCAATTTTAGACGAGCTAACAGAAACAAAGAGAGTGTACTTTTTATCGAATCGCGTAATTTTCCTATATTTACACAGCACAGGGAATAAAAACGAGCAATTGATGGATAAACTCGCGTTTTCCACACACATAATTATCGTCGTCTGACATCCGATTCTTACAAATCACCAGCGCGAGTAGGTATACAAAACTCAGCTTTCCGCTCAACGCGTCTCGCGTAGTGTTAAAAATGTCTCAAGAAATAATTGAATCTCCCGAGGTAAAGCGAAAACATTTATTTATAACTTTGTAATTGTTTTTCGTGATTCCGCGGTAATTGATTATTATTATTATTATTATTTTTATCATAACCGTACGAATGGTCAAAAAAACGTACAATCGAACGATTGATTCGCGCAAGAGTCAGCCCGTGATTGTAAAAAATTTGCTGACTCGTGCGCGCATTGTTGTTCTGCACGTTAACATTTATCGCGCCCGATTGTACTGAATGTATAAACATTTCGGCCGCTATTGTAGCGTTTCGCGGATGCAATTGCAATCGAACCTCGAACGGTTCGAACGATTATTCGGGACGAATGGCAGAACCGCGCGTCTAACAAGATTATAGCTATAAATAAGTATTATAATATATGTGTACTCTTATGTGCAATAAGCGTTTCGTGCGGAATTTTACGTGGAATATATACATATACACATATTTTTTTTATTCGGTTTGTAATTTTCTACCGTGAACGTAGTTAATTTTTTTTTCTTTTTATGACTACTTTTATTGAGGATACTTGACAAAATTTTTCTCGTAAAAAAAAGATGAAAAAATTCGGAATAGTATACACTGAGAGAAAAAAGTAATAAACATTGTAGAGAAATTCCAACAATAATTCCCATTCTTCACAGTAAATAGGATGCAAGTTGGCAGAAAAAAAAAGGGAAAAATTATTATTATATTAGGATTAACCGATTCTTTTAAGGTTTGTTGTTGCAGCATAGTACTTTTTACTGTTAAAAATAACAATTTTTCCCATTTTTCTTCCAACTTGCATCCGATTAACTGTACAAAATGTTAATTTTTCCTGGAATTTCTCTATAATTTTTATCGTTTCTTTTGTCTCAGTGATAATCAATTCTTTCGAAATACTTGATTCTCATAAACTGTAGCACTGCACTATTTTAATTGGTAAAAATTCACCAAGAGATTTTCTCGTTATCGTAGTTCATAACATTTTCGAAAGAAAGAAAAAAAAAAATCATTTTTTTTCAATTGTTCCACAAAATAATTGCGCTCTACCGAGAACAACCGGAGATCAGCAACGCATGCTTAAAGTTCAATGCTCTCGACACGAGCATCAACGCGTGAGCTTCGCCGATTAACCCACCCAATTTCATAAAACAAAAAAGAAAGAAAAAGTTTTTGGCACAGCGTGCATTTGATTGATCCACTGCTCATTATATATATTCCCTGTTCCACATTTTTCTGCTCCAACGGCAAGCTCTTATCTTATCTCGGAGCCAACCCTAGAGGCTCGTTATTCGAGGGTGGCCATGACCAAAATTAGAACGTGCGCGTAGAAGAAAATACGCGAAAAGTATATACAATCCGCAGATTTGTGATAAGTCTTTTTTTTTTTTTTTTTTTTCTGCTTAACAAAGGATTTACGCCTTGTTTGCTACGGTGACCATCGCCTCTGGATTAAAAGTATTCTGACTTCGTTTGCGCGCTTCTTTTGTCTTCTCAGTCGTCATTTGTTTCCATTGAAAGTGTAACATAATTTAGACAATTTGTAAAAAAAAAAAAAACAAAAAGAAAAGTATTACTATATGCGGTGGAAAAAAAAATAATACGCTTTATAAGGTTGTTAAAAAAATAAATGCAAAATTAGGGTAAATCGTGAGTATTAACCCAGTGTTGGTCGCTGTCCTTCTCGCATGTCGAGTTGACCATGACAATAATAATAATAATTGAAAAAAAAAAAAAAAAAAAAAAAGGAGGGATTAAATGACTGTGTACATTATATAATAATTAACTGTGTATATTTTTCCATCAAGTCTCGCCTCGCGTTGTAAGTTTGGTCTGCGGATGTTGATTAAAATTGTGACTAACATTCAACTAACTTTCACGAAATTTTTCAAGTTTGAAAAATATGTTTTTACAATAGAGCTTGGTTTATGTGCTCCTTTTTTTTTTTCATTTTAATACTCTCCCTTTTGATTTGAATTTAAAGTGCACCACGCTTTTTTTACGCACATAACAATTTAAACTAATAGGCATCTCATGGACACGTACTTACAACGGGAGGAGGCTAATTGAACTTGCTGTACAGATGTATATGTGTTTTAATATTAAGTTCTTTAATTTTTCACTTGCTTTCTCTTTTTTTTTTTTTCTACCTATTTTTTTTTCCTGTTTTCATGCATTTTTCAATTGTATAAGTTTACGTAATTTGTATAATTTTTTTTTCCCCCTTTTGTACATAGTTATAACGACACATGATTGTTTTACGTTCTGTCACTTATTTTCTCAGCAAAGCGCCATAACATTATCACCAATTACATGTAGTTATTATTTTATTTTTACGATAGTTTTACATTTTTATTTGAAATAAGTTATGTATGTGAAAAGCTTTTTTTTCCATTAAAAATAATTAAAAAATAATAATAATAATAATAATATTCATAGTCCCCCNTTAACATGTAAGCTCAAGTGTTGAATGGGATTTTTTTTGTTACGTTGTAGAATCTGGCAAAGACTAAGAAGTGCGATCGCTTAAATCGTCAATGTGTGGACGAGTAGATATTCGTTATCGTGATAAGTTACAAGTACCAAGACATTAAGTACTCTAAACGTGTTAAAAAAAAAAAAAAAAAAAAAAAAAAAAAAACATTTCACTTAGCACCTAGAAAATTTTGCACTTTGATCTGTGTGATTTGATTTTTGTGTGTGTGTGTCACTCGTGCATTGATCAAGTAAAAAATACATAGATGTACAATTAAAAAAAAAAAAAAACAAATAAATAATTGTATACTCAATTTGGTGCACTTACATCACGCAAGTGCGGCACTGCCACATAGTACATGTGTATATATATATTATATATAACTTTCATCTTTCATATAGTTGCATACCATATTATGCACGGTGAGTACATATTTTTTTTTCTCTCATTTCATGCACGTATACAAAAATATTCAGATCGGATTTCGAAAAATCAAACAAATGTTCATAAATAAATTCGATCAATTTTCGAAATCAGATCGAATAATAATTATAATGTTTAGTTGTAATAAAATGTGTAACCCGTAGATGGATATTTGCGTAAAATGACTGCTTTCGTAATTTTTGGGCATTTGAGCATGGCACCACAATTTTATCATCTGTATTGCTAACCATATTAAAACTACTAACAAAAATCTCTCTTTGATAAAGTAAAAAAAAAAAAAAAAAAAAAACAATTTCGATTAACCCTCCTTGAATAACAACACATAGCGCAACGAAGTAGAGCCTCAATTTTCCATCCTAATGAGGTTCAAAGCGACGACTAAAATCGCAAATCAAAGTTTATTTGAAAAAAAAAAGAAAAAAAACTTGATAAAGCGTATATCTAAATTCTAAGTAATAATTAATAACGATGCCGATGGTAATCCATTAGAAACGATCTTTCTTCAAAAAATGTAATTGTAAATATCTATATATTTGCGATTAATTTTTCTCACAGTCTCCCAATAATTCGCTTAATACAGTATACTAATTGACTATTCGAGGTATATAGAGTTTGTTCTCTCCTATACATTAGCAGTAATCGATTACGATCGGCGTCACTGTAACGATCGCAAAAAAAAGGATTTACTTGAAAAAAAAAAAAAAAAAAAAAAAAAAATTTATATTCCCGATGTGTTGCAGAAAAAGCGTTGCCAATGATGCAGCCGACCGAGCCGGTCTCGACCTCGGCGTGTCCTCAAAAACAGCCCCAGCGTGTCCAGCCTCCGCCTTACGTGGGTCCGCCACAAGTTCAGAAATCCCACAAGGATCCCTACCCCTACCAGGTGGTCTACAACAACAATCCCCAGTTCCAGCAACAGCACCGCATCAGCAACAACCCCCAGACGCAGATGCGACCTGGTGGTGGTCCCCCTTCATCCAACAACCAACAACAACAATATCACCATCAACTCCACCACCACCACCACCAGCAACAACAGCAGCATTCAATGGTCCATCACGTGATAGATCCCTACCAGCAGCTCATCCTCGAGAGGAACAGCCTTTACCACCACCACCACCACCACCACCAGCAGCAGCAGCAGCAGCAGCCCTACTCGCACTACACGGAGAACCAAAAGATGTACGCCCACCAGCTGCACCATCCGATCCGTCAGGCGTACGAGAAGAGCCAGCAGCACTTTTACACCCTGCCAAACCGGAGATCGCACCGGGAGGTGGCAGTCGAGCCACCCAGGAGCATCACTCCCGACATAACCCGGGGCTTGGCCAGGGCACCGCTGAACGCCGTCCACCTGCTCGCCAGACAGGGACAAAAGTCCAGTTCAGCCGAAAAACTCGTGTCGCACTACCACGGACAAGCTGGGCACAACTGCCCGATCGACCAGACTTGCGGAAAGAGCGCGGAACAGCAGAGGCCAGTCGCGCCGGTGGACGTGAAAAATCGGTAAGGATAATCGCTCGCATAAAACTTTGAAACAATAAAACAACCCCACTCACTGATCGCGTATGTTGCAGGTTCGCTTCACCAGTCGGCCTGTCAGCCCTGGGCTACCGGCTCTTCGCCTCTCCGATCCAGGACAGTCCGAAGCACCCGCCGATCTCGCCGATCGGCCCGGAGCACTCCAACGGCTTCAAATCCTCGACGCCGACCAGCCGAGCCCAGCCCAGCGTCGCCGAGCGACTGGCACTGTCGGCCCAGAGATGCGCCTCGCCGAACCCCGCCCTCATGCACGCCGGCTCGGATTCCGGCAGGAGCACACCCACCAACATCATGCTGTCGCCCATCAAGAGCTCCATGTCCAACGAGGAGCTCTTCGCGGCCATACACAAGTCCAAGAGGCGCTTGAACATCAGGGACGAGCCCGAGAGTCTGTCGCCCGCTGGTTCGGTCGCGTCGCTTTCCAAGGGCCAACAGGCCATCGGCACGAGGCACAGCTGGAGCCCCGAGTCCCAGAAAACCCCCGAGGTACGTGCACACACCTAAAAGCCTCACGTAAAACAGAGACGCGTGTTTCATCATTTGGTTGTCGTTACAGATTCCCAAGAGCGTGCTGTCGCCGTCGGCAACGTCCCGCATGGATTTCAAGCGGCTCTTGCTGCAGCAGAGCATCAAATCGGGGCCAAACCGGGTCTCAGCTGCCGAGCAGCTCAAGCTCTCCCGCCAACAGAGCCACGACTCTCAGCAGCAGCAGCAGCAGCAGCAGTCGCCGTCCAGTCAAAAGTCTAGCCAGCCCTTGGCCAAAGTTCTCAGTCCTCGTTCGGCTTGGAGGTTCCAGACGCCCCGGACGGACGTTCTCTCGTCGACGATCATCGAGGACACGGCTGCCGAGGAGAAGGCCATGAAACCCTCCCCGGAAACTCCCGCCCCGGCCACCTGCTTCCCACCGGTCACCTCGACGAGGAGACAGCTGGACATGTCCGGCGAGAGCGCGCGTGGCTCAAGGAACCTCGAGGAGTTGAGGAACGCGATCAACAAGAGCCAGAGGTCGCTGGAGAAGAGCGAGAAGGAGCTGGAGAACAGGCTGCAAGCCATCGATCTTGACGGCAGTGGCACGGCCACCAAGGTCCAGAGCGACAACAGTGACGCGGAGAATCCGATAAAGGCCATAGAGAGCCGGCGAATGAGCAATCAATTGGCCAGGGCGCAGTTCCTCGCGAGCTCGGGGCCCACGAGTTCGCCAAACGCGCACAAGGACATGTTCAACCGGAGATTCCGAGCGAGGTCCGAGTCGCCGCAACAGAGCGCTCAGCGAAGCGGTGACCCTGGATATCGGAGCTTTGGCAGCGCGTCGACGGCGACGATCACGCAAATCGACCCGGGCCCTGTGACGCGTAGTCCTAGCGCTCCAACCCTTGAGACTGCCCTTTAACTTTCCTTTTTTTTTTTTTCTCTCCTCCCCCGCGTTTTTACACTTACGTCGGCTCACCTCGAATCGATCTTCCTCGAGGTGGCGATTGTTTTTCCTCTTTTCATTTGTACGCATGGGTTTTGTATCTTTTGTACATGTAAAATGGACCGTAATCAAGTGACGAAAGAGATTTTTTTTTTTTTTTTTTTCATGTATCGAAAAACAATAATGAAGCGTAAAGAAGGCGTGACGATGTTCGTTTAGTATTTTCAAAGCAGCATGGATTTTTATGGATAAGCATTTTTTTTTTTTTAACATTTGCGAAATTTTGCCTAAAATTATACCGAACTGATGAACGTGTCATCACGCACTGGATGAATTTCGTGAAAATATTTGTCACAAGAAACTTCGATTTGTATTTTTTTTATTAAGTTTATTTTTGACTTATTGTTTTTTTATTTATTTTATTATTATTTTTTTTTTTTTTCAGTTCTACGCAATTCAAGTAGATTTTGTAAATATAGAGTACAAGTGACAAAAATTTACTTAGTTTTATAAACACATACTTTTTTTATGGATACCTGATCTATGATTCCTTATTTCACGTCACCATGTGTAGTATACTTGAAACGTCCAAGAATCATCAAACAATTCGAAAATTTTGCATACCAGTGAAAAAAAACATTTTTTTCATCTTCTTAAACAAAAAAAAAAACAAAAAAAAATAGTGTACGCCACTGTAACGTGTATACGTTTTTATACATATATAAAGCTTGCTGCTAGTCTAGTCTGGGTAGATAAAATTTTTGGCAGAAGTCAAGTACTTTTGATTTGAAAAAAAAAAAACTCTGCCAAAGAGCCCTCATCAAAAGATTGAAGCATCAAAATTTTCTCATCGCTAGTTTACATCTATTATAAATGTAACCAATGATTCAGAAATCGCACTATGTAGATAATTTGTTGACGCAAAGGAAAAAGGAGACGTTGATGAATTTTGCTTATATATGAACTATAGGCATCGCGAGTTTTGCAAAAGATGCTTGAAAACAAGAAAAAATTTTATATATAGATAGATATATATATATACACACACGAAATGCTGAATAAAATTATATATAATAGAGAACTTTTATAAGTACGTAAATCAACAGAGTTGCCTTAAATCAATTATTTAAAAGAAAAAAAGAAGCTGTAGTCAATATATATTTAAGCTTTCGAACGAACTTTACACACAAATAAAGATGTATATTTTACATCCTTTTTGTACTTTTTCATAATAATCTTTTCTAAATTTTTGAATATTGTAAAGTTATACATTATGTAGAGCTTAAGCTAATACAAACATTTTGTACTTTAATGAGAATAAACGAAAGAAATCAAATGGATCGCAGTTTTTTTTTCTATTACCTTTGACGGCTTTGACTAGTTAAATTTTTAAACATATATATATCTGTAATTTTTATTTTACATACTCAGTCGGTAACAAAAGTATGCTAAAAAACTATTTTACCATGGACCGGGGCCATGGTTGCCGCGCGGTGTCCGACGGTCCGACCGCATGATAAGATGGCCGGGGCCGCGGCACATCAGCGATAGTACGGGCAGAATAACTTTTATTTCAAAGGAATTGCCAATGCTGGTTTTATTGTTGAACTAAAATTCGCTCTTTCAATTAAACTAAAATGTAATGCAGTCTTCTTTGGTCATAATTCCGAAAAAAATGTAAAATAAGTTGCGAAATTATATAACCTTCAAACAATTGATGTATAAAGTCAGGACACTGAAAAAGAAAATAATGATTCTTGTTTGACGCGCGTTGTACTTAGTTATTGCAAATATGCAGTGTTAATTTGCCATTGATTACCAACAGAGTTTTAGGTCGTCGCGTTCGGACATTCGAAGGATTTGAATAACCAAAAATGAGCTGGGACAACCTCGTCTCTGTCGGTAATAAATTGCAAATTGACATACAATATAATGTATATATCTTGATTTTGCAACAACTACAGCATCAAATTCGACCGGACAAAGGTCATCGTCTTCGTTTTCGGCTTTCTGAGTTTTTTATATACGTATATTACTGTATGGGTCCTTATTTGTAGGCAAGAATATAATTTAGCAACAATTATTATGCTTTTTTGGGAATAAGGGCCAAAAAATGTATTGCATAATAGTTCGATCGAAAGAGCGAATTTTTTTTACGTTGAATTCAACAATAAAATCGGCATTTGCATTTAGTTGGGGAATCACGGTGATTTTCAAATAAGAAAACTCTTTTTGACAGAAGTAGAATTTTCAGTTTTTCAGGGGCCGTACCGTATACTTAACTTGTTTTTGCTTCGCGGGCCTTATACGTGTACAGAAAAATAGTTAAGTATAGATGATCCGGCCCTAGTCAGATGCATCATCTCTATACCTCATCTGCAACTAATACGACGCAGCCATCGGGGGCGCGCGCAAATATATTTTTGCAGTAGTGTATCCTACCTATATATATTCTACACCATCGGTGCATGTCGTAGTCGTCTTCGTTTGTCGACGTGTGTGGTCGGTTTTAAACAGCCCTTCTACTTTCTACTCCAAAACGCCGATTCCCGACATTTTTCACTCTACATTATCTAATTCCTGAATCCGTGTCTCCTTTAAGGAGACAACAAGCGGCCATCAAACTGGATAAAATGACTGCCCACGACCAAATGCGGGCTATGCTCGATCAACTCATGGGTACCGGACGGAACGGTAAGCGATCCTTTTCTTTCTTACTCCTAAGACACCTAAGTACCTTTTTTTCGTTTCTCCGTTTCAATGGACACGCGTTTGCTTTTTTTGATACTTACCCCGATCATAAAATTTAATCCATGTTGGGAGTGGGTTGTGCGCGCGATAGAGTGCAAAAAAAAATAAAATGGATGGCTTGTCGCTTGTTGCCGCCGCTGTAGGACCAGAAGCTTATCCTCCATCTCTCTTTGACTCATTTGTATCCCTTTACGTTGCAGTGTCGCACTCGTGCTCATAAATATATTAAAAATTGTTATTAAAAACATGTATGTACGTAGTGCCCACGTAAAGCTCATCTTCGAGAGTAGCCGTATCGATTTTCCTCGGCTGCTCTTGGATCCCACGCTCTCTCTTTTTTGCACATTCTTTCTCTTTCTATTTTCTTATCTCTATATATCCCATGCATCTCAATGCCTACATTTTGCCTGGGATAGGGCGTGCAATTTTCACTAGCTGCTTTTTTTAACACGCTCTTACAATCTGCGTGTTTGGATGTATCTCATAAGTATGCTAACTGAAATAATGTCAATTAGGGGTACTCACGTTGCACACTTACCATTAACCAACAGGTCATTGTACTGCTTTATTTTTGTTTTAAGTTTTAACAAAATTTACTTATAATAATTACCAAGTACAAATTATAGTAAAATATTGAGAATTTTACGTGTCTTTTTTGTAATTGTCTGACCAATGACCTAAAAGGATTGAATTTCTTGGGTCAAATATCTTGCACTTGTAAGCAATCAGGCTATGATGTTTCACTGAAAGTGGATCTTGTTTGTTGTTATTATTATTTTATTGTTATCATTTTTCAGGTGAAAACAACAAATTTCAAGTGAAATACTCGGATCCAAAAGTGTGCAAGAGTTTTCTGTTGGCCTGCTGTCCACATGAAATACTTTCATCAACAGTAAGTAAATTTAATCATCAAATTAATACAAAAAATCATGTTTTCTCTTGGTATGCTCATACTTTTTGAAACTCAAATTTGGTTAATAATTTTTTGCACTGAATAAGTGTTTTCTTGAACTTTATTACATTTTTTAAAAATATAGCTACAAATTTGCGATATTTGTGCATTTTACAACTTAAAATCTATGTTGTTGTTAAAACAATATTTGGAGTGTTATTGTACAATTTTGCAATTGTGTTTTTTTTTTTTTTTTTTTTTTTTTTTTTTTTTTTTTTTTTTTTTTAAAATCAGCAAAAGGTAATTATTATTTTTATGAAATAACAAACTTTTTCTTAAAAAGTTGCAAAATTTGAAAAATATCAACGTAGTTAACTGCTATTTAGTTCCTTTGGTTAAATGAACAGTCACTTAACTTATTCTGAACTGCTAATTGGCAGTTCTCTATTTCCAGAATGTCTGGAAAAGCAATTGCAATCCAGTTGTATGCAATACACTGTTGAATAATTTACTGTTCATAGATGTTGAATAAAGGTCGCGTTACGCCTGTAAGTACTAAAAAATTAGCTAACAAAATATAAAAAGGATGTATGTATTATCTACAATTGATTCTAACTTAACAACATTATTTAACAAAGTTTTGAAATAAAATTTATAAGCTTTAGGTAACATAATGAATTCTTTTGATTAGTCATTGCATTGCCATATTTGCAATAATTCTTTATTTTTATTTAAAGAAAATATTTAAATGTTTACTCAATTTCTTTAGTTGCTCTCTAATAAGTATTCTAATTTAATAGAATGTGACTAATTCCAAATTTTTTTTCAAATTGATGCAAGACATATTTTAAGAACATTATTTCCAAAAGTTGATAAATTTTACTGTCAAAAATATTACGAAAGTGAATTAAAAACATGAATTGATAATGTTGATATTGCTTGACAAGATCATCTTGGCTACTCCGCCTAATTTTGCGCGGGTCTCGCACTTTGTCGAAAATCCCAAGACCTGATACACATGCGTCAAACAATCGTCCTGTATCGTACATTTTTGGTGAGTAGACACCTCCATAAAGAGAAAAGATTTTTGACCGAAAGATTAGTATGAAATTATGTTATGCTTGCACATTTATTTAATAATTAGTCCGGAAGAAGAAAAACGAAACTTGTCGAGACTTTGAAATTCCTGTGAGTATGAATGTCTAGAAAAGAAAGAAAGAAATATACTTTTTTTTTGCTCGCAGAAAGGTGTGACAAGAAAGCACTGACTGTAAGTAAACTATTGTCAATTGCCAAACAATTGTTTGATTTTGTTTGGGTTATCCTTGTCCAGTTTTTTTTTTTTTCAATGTGATTATTAACTATTATTAAATGCAGTATACACTTATTTTTCTAATTGCTTTTATTATCTTTCTTCATTCATGTGATTGACGGGCCAAAGAACCAATCACACTGCTTTGTTAAAATTATTTTTTGGAAAACCCAAATAAAAACACAATAAAAACAATTTGTATATCATTCGCGAAATACGTACTTTTTTTTTTATAATCAGTGTTTTCTCATTATTCTGCCTTATCACTCATTTAACCGTATTCTATTCTTAGTAGGTGTTCTCCAGATTGTTCAATAAACCTGTAAAATTCAAACTTATTCTGCATGATGCGTGTAATACTTTTCTGCCTTTAATTTAGTTTTTAAAAAAAAGGCTCTTGATGGAATTTATTAATCATCATCTCTTCTGTCTTTTTTATTCTTTCTTTAACAAACATTTTTTCTTTTGATTTTTTATTAGTTGGAATTTTGTTATATCATTACAGACACCGCGTCCGTAATAACAATTTGGCAATTGACAAAAAATTAAATCGACAAAATAGGCAAGCTCACAGAAAAAGGGAAATTGGCTCGATGGATAAAAGACAGCGAAGGTGTTTTTCATCGTACGTATAAAAAAAGAATCTAAAATTTTATTTCAAAATCATCGGTCACAATAAGAGTGTTTTAAAGAAGAAAAAAAAATTGCTCGTTTAAATTAATAGTTTGAATTAATTTAAAACATTGTGAAAAATTAAGGTTTTGTGCTGGTTTCATAGCATCGTTGATCCATCGCAAACGGTGGTCAGGCGGGAGAGGTGTTGCCACTCTGTAAGTCAAATTACCAAAATATCTCTATCTATAGAACGTTTATTATTGTCTTAATTATCATTACTCTTTATTTGTTTTACCTAATTTCTAATAAAAACAAAAATAAACAAAATACTCGTTCGATTCTCTCTTCAATTGAGTACAATAAATAGTATTGATGAACGATGTTAAGTTCATGAATAAAAACGAGGCAGCAAGTTTGTCTTCTCATGAGATTAGCTCCTATATATATTCCTGTAGGTGAAATCTCTCAATGTATAGAATTAAGTCCAACCATTACCTCCAGGGCAACACAGCAGCCTTCTTAAAGCTCTTCTTCGTAGGCATTTATTACATTGATGTGGGAAGAGACTTTTGTGCCGAAGACGCATTGCTTTTGTAAGTCTGAACAATAAACCAAAACTTTATTCTTAGAAAAAAAAATAATAATAAATAAATAAAAAAAAAAAAACGGTTCCCAAAAAAAATTGTCGAACATTTACTTATTATGTATATCAAAATCAAGTTTTGTTTTCAGCATTACCTGTTCTGCCTTCAAAGTTTAGGTGTACATCATTTCAATAGATTCTTCAGCACTAATCGATTTATATTCATTTTTTTTTTTTTTCTTTTTTTTTTCACTCACATTACACACGTTAACATATCATACCTATTGCATTCGTGACATTTCACTATTCGGATGATGTTCTACCTTTACTTGAAATATGCAAATGAATGATAATAAAGGTGCAAACAAACAACTTTTTGCCCTGATCAATCGAGTTTTACACGTAGTGGGTGGCCTTGCCAAAAATTGACTTTATATATCGACATTGTATACTTTTTCAATAATAATGATTTATTTATAATTACATATATATATGACTTATATCAATGAATATACATACCGAGAAAATAAATAAAAAAATTCGAGGGTCACGCCTCGACTAAAGCATATGATACCAAAAATGTTAATTAACGAGTACTATTTGCAAATCGCAGCGCATGGACTTGGGAGAATGCCCGCAGATTCACGATCTGGCCCTTCGGGCCGACTACGAAGCAGCGCAGAAGAAAAAGGACCACTTTTATGACATCGATGTGAGTATTTTACAAATCTCATACTCGTAAACTTACAAACAATCCTCGTGTAATAATATTAATATGGTTTTTTTTTAATTTGCAGGCAATGGAGCACCTGCAGAGCTTCATAGCAGACTGCGATCGTCGAACAGAGCAAGCTAAGCAAAGGCTCGCCGAAACGCAAGAGGAACTGAGCGCTGAAGTCGCTGCTAAAGCCAACAACGTAAAAAAAAAATTTTTAATACATGAACAAATTGTCACAAAATACACATCAGAGCACGTATAAAATTGATTATGCTGTTACAGGTTCACGTTCTTGCCGAGGAGATCGGTAAGAAATTAGCCAAAGCCGAGCAGCTGGGTGAGGAGGGTTTCGTCGAAGAGTCGATGAAGTTGATGGGAGAGATCGACGAGTTGCGTAAAAAAAAGAACGAAGCCGAGCAAGAATACCGAAACAGCATGCCCGCTTCTTCGTACCAACAACAAAAGCTCCGCGTATGCGAGGTCTGCAGCGCCTATCTAGGTATTCACGACAATGACCGCCGACTGGCCGATCACTTTGGTGGTAAGCTCCATCTGGGTTTCATCAAGATCCGAGAGAAACTCTTCGACCTTGAAAAGACCATGGAGGAGCGCAGACGCCAGAAGCGCGAGGCTATGGACAAAGAACGCTCGGGTAGCCGGCAACGAAGCCGCAGCCGTGAACGAAGCCGCGAACGTGGTGGCTATCGTGATCGCAGCGGCAGGGACAGGGAACGTGAACGCGAACGTGACCGTGACCGTGACCGTGACCGTGACCGTGATCACTATCGCGACAGGCGCGACAAAGACAGAAGGCGCTCAAGGTCAAGGAGTCGCAGTCGAAGCAAGAAGTAAGATTTTGTTGTATTTTTTTTTTTTAATTCTAGTTAACGCGTTCGTATGATGAAACGAAGGCCGAACTGAGATTCGATTGGAAGGTAGATCGATTCTTCGTGAGTCTCTTTTCCTCTTGGACTCTGATCTTTCAGCCGAAGCGATAGTCGCTGACGGATTGTGATTTTTTCACCAGCCATATGATTTAAATGTAAAATGCAAGTAGCGTTCAAGCACGGTCGATTTTGTTTATTTTTGCAGGTCTCGCCGTTCATGCAGTAGCAGCCGAGACAGAAGATCTCGTTCTCGTCGTAGTGGATCCAACGATCGCAGGAAGTAGAGAATTCATTTCGTTCCCGATAACACGTGTACACGGCTGAACTACAATCTTACGTTAATCACAGCGAAGCTCAATATTTTGACTTTATTATATAAATATAATATTTGATAGTTAATAAAGAAAGTTTGTCAATTGGACTTGGTGTTCGTTTGCTAAAGAGAAATTTTACGAGTTTTCGCTAGAAGGAATTTTTCGAAAAGCACAGTAGCATAATTGTTAGTAGACTTAGCGGCATACAACCAGCATTATCTTTTGGTATTCTACATGTACAGAATTGATTGAGACGGAATGGATTCATCAATGACAAGCAAAATTATTATAATTTAAAAATGGCAACTATAAACTTGCCTTCATTGTTTCGTTTGGATAATTAAAACAGTTTCAATAATACGGTTTTGTACGCATTTTTTATCCAGCCTGATGTTTCGTTATATTAATTTTATTTGCTTATGTATTTTTGTATTTTATGAATATCTCTAATTGTACCAATAGATTTTGTGATGAAAAAAAAAATTTCTGGATCATTTTTTTGTTTATACTTAATAATTATAAGGTATAAAAATTTAACAAAGTTTATCCTCCAAAATTTTTTGTACAATTTCTAAACGTACATTGTGTATTTGATGTGACACTCAATACAATGATAATTACAATTTTTCCTCAAAATCAGTTTGCGTGTTTTATACTTTAAAGGTATTTAATTATAGTGTTACTTGAAACTACAAAAAAAATCAAAAGTCAATAGAATCGTATAATATTACATGATTTTAATTTACTACGTTCGCTCACGCTGTTATTTTTAAAGTGATAGTTTTTGGTTTCACGAATGCCTCGACAAAATATCACAGGAATCGTCGATTGTAGTTGGCTATACAAATCGAGTAACGTTACGAACTTCTCTTTCGTTGTTATTCAAAATTTTTTTTTTTATTTTGTTTCACAAGTATCGTAATAAAATATGTTATAAAAATCACATAACGCTAATACAATCTGTTTATCAAACAATGTAAAATTAAAACAAAATTAGTTTATCTTACAACTCAAGCGTTCAATTAAAAAGTTAAAAACTGACATCAAAGCAATAACATTCTCAAATTTTCATCTAGTGCAAAAAAAAATCGAAACAAAAGAGGAACATTTCAAACATCACAAACGGATCTGTTCTTTTACACTTTCGTCATGATTCGTCTTTGAATGCGATTTTGCCGCCTGATGCATTTTTTAAGTCCTTTCCAGATTTCCGCAAAGCTTGTCTTGTTCTGTTTGCTGTAGACATTAAGATAAATTCCTAGCAAAACGATTAGCCCCGACCAGACGTACGTGAAGGTGAAGGGCTTGTAGAAAAAGAGGAAACTAATGATGATGGTGACGGCTTTGCGACAAGTCGTTACCGTTGCTGCAACGAAGGCTCCGCAGCATTGCACCAAACTTAAAACTATTTGCATGCCCAAGTATCCAGACATCGAGAACAACAACGCATATCCATACGTTTCAATGGGATGCTACATAAAATAAAAAGAGAGTTATTTTTTTTTTTTTGAAAATTTTACACTTAATTAAGTTGTTGGATTGACAATTTTAAATCACCTGACTACAAAAGGAGGCACCTTTGAAAATATCCCCAGTGTACATGAGTATTAGGAACAGATAGACGAAGCCAATGCTGTAAGAGTAGAACACAACTTCGGTGTTACTAGCCTTGTGTTGGCGCATCGCTTTTTCCTGGACATTACCGATTAAGGCGTCGCAGAGCAAAGCACAGCTGATCATAGTGACCCCTACTGCATTGAAACGTGGCGAGATCATGCTGTCCGCCAAAGTGAATAGAATCAAGCCTAGACACATGAGACTAGCCGCGACGAAGTCTAAAAATCCGTAGGACTTGCCTTGAATCAAGATGCTACCAATCAGTACTGGAATTAGTTTGCAGCATTTGAAAATTACCTGAGGAAAAAAAGTATCCCAAGGTTTACTAAGATAAATGTTGAATTTTCATGAATGAAATAAGTGGACATGATGAAAACCTGTGTGGGATAGTTCAAATATCCAAGGGAAGAATTCGAAAAGCCCATGGTACCCAGAGTAAACAATGCAAGCAACAAGTAAGTTTTGACTGGTATTTTCCTGTTGATATTCCTAATTCGACATTCTAGCCATCCAAATACTGAATAGTAGCCAAATTGAATTAAAGTTAAGTACCATCCAAATGGTCTGAAGCCATCCAGAGTGAATATCAATTCCTGACAACAGTAAAAACTTTACAGCAGTGTCCACAGTAATTTTTAAGTAACGAAGTATAAGTACCTGTAAATATCCATACAGAATATAAAATGTAAATATTCCTAAACTACACCACAACAATTGAGCTTTAGTGCTGCACCGACTGATATCAAAGCAGAATAAACGAATGTCATTTTTCGAGACAACTGTATTCTCTTCTATTAACTGATCTGTTGGATTGAGAGACTCTTATTTAAAAAGATATATACTTAAAATGAACTACTGCTAGAAAAATTAAAAAAAAAAAAAAAAGTTACATCAATTAGACTCACCATCCTCGCCGATATCAATTTTTTTATGCGACATTTTTGCAGAAAATATACTTGGAGAGCCAATGAGAAAAAGATAAAATTATCGTCTACAAAAATGCAACCTTCAAGCTAATATAATAGCTTTGTATGCTATCAAACAGCGGCATTTTTATGGCTTTTTGACATTTTTAATTAAAAATAATGATGGTGATGAATCTAAAAATACCACGTGACAGGATAATTTTTGTTACGACTATCTTTTTGCATCATGAGGCGGTAAAAAATATATATTTGCACACGATAACATTAAAAAATGAACTCTGACAACGCGACAAATACATCGTCTGCTGTAATGTTTACTGCTGTCCCGGTGCAACGGCTTGTATATATATATATAAGCTCAATATTTTGACT